TATGGGTCAAATCTAAAACATTCCCTAAAATTCTCATGCACTCAGAGGTGGGGCTTTTGGAAGGCAATGGCATCATGAGGGTACTTTGCTTATCTCTATGGGGCTAGTGGGGAAGTGAGTCACCGAGATGAGACTCTGAAGGACATATCTTTCCTCCTGCTTCTTCCCTCATTATTGTTAAACCAGGTGAGGAGCTTTCTTCCCCCGTGATGTTTTTTGCCTTGGAACCAGCTTGGCATGAATTAAAACCTTTTCTCCTTTAGGCTATGTATATCAGGTATTTTGGTCACAGTGACAAACAACTTAGCAATAAACAAGTTAACTCATAAGCTATTTCAAGAGACAGATTTTTATACTCTAAAGCTATTCAGTCTCAAATAGTAGCCAATAGCCAAATGTAGCGATGAAGCACCGGAAATGTGGCTAGTCTTAATTCAGATATGGTTAAATATAAAATACACACTGAATTTTTAAAACAGTACAAAATGCAACTTTTTTAATGATTACATGTCAAAATAGTAATATTTTCAATTCAGTAAAACATATTACTAATTTTACCCCTTAAAATATGACTACCAAAAGCTTAAAATGTATCTTTTTTGTCTGTCTTTGAGACAGGGTCTGCTATGTATTTTAGGCTGGATTTGAACTCACTATGTAGTGTAGGCTGGCCTCAAACTTGTAGCTATCTTCCTGCCTCAGGCTACTGAGCACTGGAATTACAGACATGCACCACCATACCTGGTTTAAAGTTTCATTATATTTCTGTTGGTCAACAATCATCCAAAGTCTCTGGATAGCATTAGGTATACAGACAATCAACCAATGTTTGATTAAGTCTCTTTATCATTTTGTTACATCAACTTACTGGGTCTTTTAAAATGCATCCTTATGACAAAAGCAAACAGATTTATAAATGGAGTTATTATTACACAATTTCATATACTGCTTTGTATTCACTTAATTAGATTTTGATAATTTCCTTCTGCAAATTTGTAGCTTTAAGCACTGAAGCAGAGCTCTTCAAATAGATTCTCAGCAAGGCTTTGTGTAGCTGAGAAAGGGGAGACTTCTCAAGGACTAAGCAATCAAGTTGCTGAAATTAACCTTGGTGAATGACAATGAATCACTAACTGTTGGTAGGCCAACTATGCTGTCAAATCTCATGGAAAAATCAGGATGCTCTCTGGCTCCTGGATTTTCCTGCTCTTTTAGCATTTCTAACCTGAAGGACTCTAGGAAGGAAAGAATGGTAACATAGAAGAGGTAGACTCCAAGGACCGTTTGCTATTCCAAAATATCCTTTAAGCATGGAAGAAATGCATCTGGTGGCTTTCCACATTGGGAGAATTGGAGCCAAACAATACCTTGTCTGTGAGTGTGCTACTCTTAGCTGACTGGATTTTGAGCAGACCATGTCTTACTCAAGGAAGTACTTGGGTTGGTTCTATTTTAAGTTTTGGGTGGAAGCAGAAAGGGGCTTGAATTTGGTTGTCTGAATTGTTCCAGAATGCCCTAAAATGGTTCCTCACAGTTTTCTCCCCATCCTGTCATCCCCACGCCCCTCCAACCACCACGACCACTAGTTAACATTTATTTAATGCTTACTACATGTCCGGAACTTTTCCCAATATTTTACATTTGTTATTACATCACCGAAAACTCAAACAATTCTTTGAGCTAGATGTTACTTGTAACCTCATTTGAAAGGTGAGGCAATTGAGGTACAGAGGGGGTAAGTAAATTGCTTATAGTCAAACAGCTGATAAGTAGAAAAGACAGAATAACCAACTTTGCCTGTCTTGGTGTTTGACAACTTGGACTACAGCATCTGGAAAAGTTTCTGTCTAATTCATACCATAGGAACAAACCTACTTGACTGGGGCCATCCTGTGCTGGTAGGTTATTTCTTAAACTTCCCTAGCACATGGAGACACAGAGAATATGAAATTCAGTCTTCCGTGGCCCAAGAGTAAGTGTCAAGTGATTGACAATAAGATAGGTGAGAGATACTGCTCGGGGAGGGACACTCCAATACAGTGACACCATCATTACAGTACACAGACCCAATCAGAGAAGTGCCATTTTGTACCAATAAAAAAATTTCTATTTTCATTCTTTTCTTTTAATCTGGTGCTGTTTGCAGGACCAATCAGAAGATGCTCTTTTCAATCCTTCATTTGCATGTGGGGTTAATCAATCAAAAGATGCTAACTTTTATCCTTTATTTACAAGTAACAGGAAATCAAATGGATTTTTTTCTGACAGAACAGTTTACAGAAGGCATGATGCCAATTGAATACTTAATAGGCCCGTTTCTTCAATGCTTTATTTACGTAAAAGAAAGATAACCTGGGGATTTTGGATACAAAAGACCCCTTTCCTTTGTCCTCAAGAGTGTCCTGCTGCAAGCCATTTTTTTCCCCCATTGGTACACTGTCTGAAGAGCATACTTCTTTTCTATTCTTGCCCTGACTTTTCTACACTTTTACTGTCTTTTTGGTACATTTTGTCCAGTTATTTGTTCTGGACACCAAGTACCTGGCAAGAAGCCCAGTGGGACCCTCCACTTGGTAACAATACTGCATTTGATGATAACTAAAACAAAGTATTAACCACAGGTTATCATTTGAAGGATTTTTCAACATATAATGTTTATTGGTTTGTATTTTAAGAAATATGAGTAATGTTTATTATGAGCTTTTTATTGTGCCTTTGAGTACTTTTTGAGGACATGAGAAAATGGAAATGTTACATATTTTTTGCAATTTTTGTTTTCCTCTAGTTTGCTTTAAACTTCAGGTTTTGAGGGAGCCCCTCCTATTTGTTTAGCCTTGACAATCAGCTTGGGTCTACACATACAGACTTAAGGTGGAATCCAGAAAACACACAAAGGAAAGCAAAAATTTGAACAAATGTGGAAAATGTAGAATTAGATTTATGTGTTTCATTTTTGAGTCAGAAGTATGACAGGTAGTAGGGGTAGCTAAGTCACCTAGACTTTGAGTAAGATATATACAGATACTCCTAATTTTTCTTTAGAACAACCTGGTTGATCTCTCTGGACAATTTGGAGTGGGAGATAATCAAGGACATATACGTTCTCTGCTTAATGATTTTATGTCTTCATAAAAGCAGGGAGAAATATCAATTAAGTATCCCTGGGACCTTCATGGCTGAAGATGGTGACATTAGGGAAAAATCAAGTCTCTGTCAAGAACAATGGCATGATTACTTCATTAAATGGAATTTGTCTTTACATTCTAAATTTGACATAGGCTTACAGAATGTCATGGTAATATAGATTTACTAGAGATTGTCTAATTTAATTTTTCTTATGAGGGAAGTGAAGCCCAGAAAAAAAGATATGGTGTCCAGACTGTCACTCTTTTGGACTTAACCGAAAACGACTTGATTTCTTTGCTTAGTATGAACTAAGCTTCCTTATTCTTTTAGTGTGAATTTCAAGTTGTTTCCACAGCAGAGATTATCATCAGTATTGCATCCAATATTCATATAATGAGAGTTATGATCAAGTGATGAGTTAATATTTATCTTTTACTGTACTATATAATTGCAGACAGGATCCTTGTTCTAAGAATCCCCTCACCCTTTGCCTTTTAACCCATACGAAAGCAAGTGGCCAAGTGAGATTTTTTTCTTTGACTCAGATTAATCCGCTCACTAGGTGGCACAAAACATGTAGTAACTAAAAATGGGATAATGATAACTAGAAGTATATATACACATACAAAAAAATGGCATATGTATTATGCGTAGGGTGATTACACTTAGAATGTTTATCAGCACACAGTGAGTCCCTGAGACCTCCAAACACAGATATAATCGGTGAAATTTCATCAAGATGTACTGAATTGGGGTTGGGGATTTAGCTCATTGGCATTGCACCTACCTTTGCAAGAGCAAAGTCCCGAGTTTGATCTCCGAGTTATGAAAAGAAAAAGTTACCAAATGTTTTCTGGGCAATCTGGTACTTTACTTTCCTGATCCATTAAATTAAAAAGACATGTTGGGGCAGTGGGCATGTTCTTTACTGAATACTGAGTGGTTACAGGGTGTATACCTAAGTTAAAATTAATTGAGCTGTACACTTCAGATTTGTACCTTTTACTGTATGCAAATTGCACCTCAAAAATAAGAATATAACAAAAAATTCAACCTCAAAGGACTAAAAACAAACAAAAGCCTGGACATGCAATTGAACTTTTAATAATTATAATTATTATTTAATGATTTAATAATTATAATTTCGGACTTGCTACAGTTTTTTATTTACTGATTCATACTCAACCAATGGTAGCATGAAACACTTTTTTGCTCTTGTGTTAATCTTTCAGTAAACCAAGTTACTTAAAAAGATCCAGTGACCTTTTTATAATGCGAGAAAGTCTTTCATTTAATCGTTTCCAGCTAAGATGGTGTAATAACTTGGTCCAGAATTTTGTACAACAACACGAGAGAGACTGCGTGTGGGGAGCACATACTGAAAAAATTTTTTCTTTCACTTCGCTCCTCTGCGGCTTTATATTTTTATAGTGTACTTTAGGAAACGGTATTATGATAGCAAAAGAGTCCTGAACTAAATAACCTCTTTCTGAGATGCTAATGATTCTATTTTCCGTCTGACATATTCTCAAAATCCACCTTTCCCTCCTGGATGCCATTATAAAGAAGTTAGGATTTGGATACGTTGTAAAAACGATTTGCTTTTATGTTTTCTCCACTCCGCGTTATAAAACCTAGTTCTCTGACGTTTCATTCCTTTCAAGAAAAGTCCAACTACTAGGCTAATTTGGATTCTGCTGCGAGGCAAAGAACTACAGCTTGAAAAATCCGGCAAACATCCGGAAAAAGAGGACTACAACTCCCAGAATGAAGAGCTTCACCGTCTCGCCGGATCGCTCCTTCCAGCTGCCCAATGAACAGGGGCCTTGAGCCACCCATTTGCCCCGTTGGTCAGCTTTCCTGTGCCGGTGGGACAGGGAGGAGTGAAATTGAGCACGCCGGATGGCCTATTTCCCGCCATCCCGCGAAACCAGGAAGAAAAACTGCAAAATCGAATCTCCACATTGGGCACTCGCTAGTCTGGCGTCAGAGAATTTAGCCAGTAAGATTACATATTTGCTTCAGGAGTCCCCGCCTCTTCCTCTGGGTACACTTTGGTGGCGGGAAAAATTGGGAAGTTTTCGCGCTAGGGAGGAGGTACCCGTCTTGGCAGCAGGCATGGCAGGGACCGTGGTGCTGGACGACGTGGAGCTGCGAGAGGCTCAGAGAGATTACTTGGACTTCTTGGATGACGAGGTGAGGGGCGCCGGGACTCAGGCTCGGGAGCATTGTGCTCTGCGGACAGTTTTTAACCCGCGGAGGGAAGCCGGCCGGGCACCGCTTCCACCCAGCTTTGCAGCCGGGCCGGCGTCCTGCCTTCCTCCGGATCAGGCGACTTGTCTCGTCTCGCGAAGGGGAGAATCACTTGTGTGTGTTCAACAGGTGAACTCCCTGCCACTGTTCCGAGTACACGTGACGGCGGTGGTGCCCAGGGCGACAGGCCTCTGCAAGTGCCAACAAAAGGTCAAAGCCTGCCTCGGCCTTTCAGCCCGCCGGCCATGTCTGAACTCGGCAGGTGGGGAGGACTGCAGAGCGATTGTGGCTGTGGTCCTCTTTGTAGAGTGCTTTCCTTGGTGACTGACAAGACTGCTGGAGGACAGTGACTTCCTAATTTGGTTGCTTTTTTTCCTATGCCAAATGAGATATAGGTAAAAAAAAAAAACAAAAAAACCACTTTTTATTTTTTTTGGGGTACCGGGGATTGAACTCGGGTCCTCGCGCTTGCAAGGCAGGCCACGGAACCGCTGAGCTAAATCCCTGGCCTTAGAAAAACCTTTTTATATGGAGCTGAAAGGGGGTTTTGTGTGCAGCCCCGAATTTAAAGCTACAAAATGTTAATAATACAGCATCTTGGAAATCTGATTGTAAATAAACAATTTTTATCTGAGTTTTAAGTTTGCTTAGCTTACTTCTTTTGTTGTATGTATTTGTGTATAACTTAGGATACAGCAAAATAGTACGACAGTTAAGGGAGTCTTTTGTTTTTTAATTAAGTTTACATTTTAGTAATTTATGCATTGTCCTGCTAGCCTTCTTATGAGCTCGTTTTAATTTCCCACTAAATGTTGAGAAATGACAGCTTACAGAAGAGCTGTTGATGCCAATAGGATGAGAACATGGACCTTGAGGCAGTCATAATTCTTTACAGGCTCCTGAGGGGGTGGAGTCTGAGGCCAGTTAATGAAAGGAAGAAATCGATGAACACCTACTTGGAATTCAGCTCTGTTGCAAAGATAGACTTACTTAGTTTATTGATTTATTTACTTGATTTGCAGTGAGAGCTGCTATTGTTAACAAACAACAGGTTTTAAAATTTGTGGCTATTGAGACATATGGTGGCTGTTTTGCAGGAAGACCAGGGAATTTATCAGAGCAAAGTTCGAGACCTGATCAGTGACAACCAATACCGGCTGATTGTCAATGTGAATGATCTACGCAGGAAAAATGAAAAGAGGGCAAACCGGTGAGTAGTAAGGGTTGTGGGGGTGGGGTGGTGGTGGTGGTGGTGGTGGTGTGGTGGTATCCTGGCTCTTAAAAGAGAAGGCCTCATTGCCTCACCTGCATCTGTGTTTTATTTTCACTTCTAAAAAAGGTTGTGGGTATTTTCCTGATGTGGCGTGCTTTTCCTTCTAGTGTTTAGCTAAATATTTTTATGTCTTTGATAAGTTAACTTGGAGTATGTCCTTAGTTCTGATGTATTTTTTGGTCTTACAGGATTGCAGGAGAAAATAGGAGCTGGATTTTCTTTCCTTGAACATAGTGATCTAGGAATGTTTACTTCTGTTTTGAGGGTTGCTGGTTTTTTTTTTTTTTTTTTTTTTTTTTTTTTTTTTTTCTTGTCCATTCGCAGCCTTCTGAGCAATGCCTTTGAGGAGCTGGTTGCCTTCCAGCGAGCCTTAAAGGATTTTGTGGCCTCCATTGATGCTACCTATGCCAAGCAGTATGAGGAGTTCTATATAGGATTGGAGGGCAGCTTTGGCTCCAAGCATGTCTCTCCCCGGACTCTTACTTCCTGCTTCCTCAGCTGTGTAGTCTGTGTGGAGGGCATTGTCACTAAATGTGAGTAGGGTAGACAGGGCACTAAGGAAATGGAAGTAGGATAGACTTGAGGCTGGGAAAGCAAGAGAGGCGGAGTAGATCTGGATAGCTTGTGACTTCTGCAAGGTGCAGCACTGAAATTGTTCCATGAGACTTGGAGGAGCTCAGATATGCACAATGATTAGGGAGACTTTGAGTGAGTACTGGGAGCTGGCAGAATAATGAATTTGGCTCAGAGCTATGAGTCTTGGCTCCTAGTAATTGCATTCTAATACTGAACACCTCCTGTTTCTTAGGATTAAGAATAACTTTTACATGGGTTGAAATGTTCTATATATGAATATAAGAATGACTGACAGGTGGTATGGAAAAAGCTTAACTGAGTTGGGAAAACAGTATTTGGAATCATCACTGGCTTGTTTGGGTTTAGAGGCCAACTCTGTCACTATCTTGTTGGATGATTTTATAAGTACATTTTCCATTTCTAGGCTCTCTAGTTCGTCCCAAAGTTGTTCGCAGTGTCCACTACTGTCCTGCTACCAAGAAGACTATAGAGCGCCGTTATTCTGATCTCACTAACCTGGTAGCCTTTCCATCCAGCTCTGTCTATCCTACCAAGGTAAGGGCTTTGAATTAGTTGGGCCTACTTAGGGGTTGAAGTCAAAGATACCTGTTCTATCCTATGTATCCCCCTTCCCCTAGAAGTGCTGGGAATCAAACCTAGGTCTAGGCAAGTGCTGTGCCGCTGAGCTATGTCCCTCAGTCCAAAAATGTCTATTTTGATCAAAGTAATTGTGTAATATCTGAAGTCTTTCTTCTGGAAGTATGTAGTGTGCAAAGTAAGGATTGATTCAAAGGAAAGATTGATTATAAGTTCAAGTTTAATGTGGAAACTCTGTAATTTTTCTTTTTAAAGAATAAGCCAGATGTGGTGGTGCAAGCCTGTAATTCTAGCATTTCGGAGGCTGAGGCAGGGGCATCATCTTGAGTTCAAGGCCAACCTGAACCACATAGTGAGACCCTGTCTTAAAAAATCAACCAAACTAAAAAGAATAAGTATTTACTTTACAAAACTTGAAATATTATGGAAGGATATGGGAAAGCAGTCATAGATATAGAATTTTTAGCAAAATTATTATAACCAGATATACCTGCTTTTTAAAAGTAAAATGGGAGATGTACTCTATTAATGGTATTGTGTAAACTTTGCAAAAGTTTCACTGGACTTGGGAGAAGGCTGGCATAGAAAGGGCCTCAGACTGCTCAGATCCATCTGAATTGAGGGCAATGCAAGGCTTTCTTATTTAATGAGACAAAAGATCATTAAAATTGATTACTTGATGTCTGCACTCATTCTGTCAAAGATACTCCCCATTCAAATTTTAATTGAGTGCTACTGTACCCATAATACAAGTACTCCTAGGGACCATGGGAAACAGGTGTAAATAAGAGCCAGTTGACAAGATTGCCTTCAAAGGGAAATCAAACTTACAAAAAATTGAAACAAGGTTATCTCAGTATTATAACCAAAATATACTTGTTTCTCTTGTCTACCTCCAGATGAAATGCTGAAATTTAAGTGACTTATTTTTGGTTTCAGTGACTGATGGCTCTTAAGAACTAAGACCCATTTTTCTTGAGGCCAGTTACATTTTCTTTTTCTCTCTCTCTCTTTTTTTTTTGAGACTGGGTCTTGCTGTGCTGTTCAGGCTGCCCTTGAACTCTTTGTAGCCCAGCCTGGCCTCGAACCGGGAGCTATCCTTCTGCCTCAATGTCCTCAGTGCTGGGATTACAGATGTGCGCCAACACACCTGGCTATCAGTTACATTTTCTGTCACCCTGCTGTCTTTGTTATTAAAGTTTCTGCTTTTTATAATTTCTTCTTCAAGGAGTACTCTTCTGCTGATTTCTGTGGCCAGTTTCTTTGGTTGAGAAGAGATGCACTGGGCTTTGTCTCCTGGAAATAATCTGCCTTGGTGCTTAAGATCCTGGGCTGTGGAGTTTCACTCGCATGAGTCCTGGCCCTACTACTTACTATGTGACCTTGGGAAACTTCTTTAACCTCTCCCAGTCTGTTTCCTTGCCCATAAATGTAGAAAATACCTGTTTTATAAGATTTTTATAATTATATGAGATAATTTTATAAAATAATAAGTTCTTGGCACATAGCAAGTGTTCAGTAAATGATAGCTCTTTTGTTTTTAAAACTTCAAATATCAGTACAATTTCTTACAAAATTTAAGATACATATAAGCTGCTGTAATATAAGTGTATAACTCGATGCATTTTTACAAGTTGTGTATGTTTGTAAGCAGCATTCAAACCAGGAAATGGGATTTTACTGACCCAGTAGTCACAGGGCAGCACCATCATAATGCCTAACAGCAGATTGTTGTGTAGTATTTATGTGACTCTACCACATTTATTTAACTGTACTACTGGTGACAGGGGTGCTTTGGATTTCTGCTTACAGTGAGTCCCTGACTTACAAATGAGTTCCATTTTGAGAAAACATTTGTAAGTCAGATTCATTCAAAAGTCTTAACAAAATGGGACTTACATACCTTTGACATAAATATACAATATAAAGCATAAAAAAACCAAATGTCCACATCACCACCACTTTGTCCCTTGCTTCCGGACATGCTGCCTCTGGTTAAGCACTGTCCTCCTATACGCTGTCACACTGTACAGCAAGCACACAGCAGCACAGCTGTGACAATGTCTGCCAGACATGTGAGCTGCTTTCATGATTTGTTTGCACCTGTGTAATGCAGGGTCTGTTCATATCTGTGAAAGTTTGCAACTTGAGTGTTCCTTGTCAGGATTTAATGTACTAGGAATAGGGCTGCTATGAGTTTTGCAGTCAGTGGCTTTGGGTGAATGTTGATTTGGGTGTTACCAAGGAGCGGAAAAACTGTCGAGTGTAACCGTGTACTCACCACCTTTAGTAGGGGGAGTAAGAATCCTAACTTAATTAATTTTTTATTGGGCAGTGACTGGGTCATGGTGTGTGATCCTGAATTAGTCCATCGATGGGTTTATGGCTGGGTGTATTGTTGGGAGGTGACAACTAAGAATCCTAATTTAAACGTTAATACAGCTGTGGTTCCATCTGAGTATGTGTGGTCCTTTCCATTGACAGTTACTGAGCCACAGATAGGTATGGAAGAAGTTGGGGAAGATACTTGGATTTTTTTTTTTTTATTCCTAGATTCTAAAATTTCATGAAGTCATCGCTGAATTGCATTTCCTATACTAAATGAGTGGCATTTTCAAGACCAGACTAAAATAACTTTTTCTGTGTGCCATTTTCTAGGATGAGGAGAACAACCCCCTTGAGACAGAATATGGCCTTTCTGTCTATAAGGACCATCAGACCATCACCATCCAGGAGATGCCAGAGAAGGCACCAGCTGGCCAGCTGCCCCGCTCTGTGGATGTCATTCTGGATGACGACTTGGTGGATAAAGTGAAGCCTGGTGACCGAGTCCAGGTGGTCGGGACCTACCGTTGCCTTCCTGGAAAGAAAGGAGGCTATACCTCAGGGACCTTCAGGTAAGAGGACTGCCATGAAGTGTTTGGAATACTGGTGGTAGGTTATGTTTCTGGAATTATTTTTCCTGCAGTTTGCCATATTTCACAGAGCCCTAGCTGACAGAGTACACTTGCCTTTGGGGTGGGAAGCCTCCCTACCTCTCGTTTGTTAGGTAAAAGCCGTGACACTTAAACCATCTTAGGCCAAGAGCAGGAGTTACTGATGCTATGATTATAGCCTCCTGGGACTTTTCTTTCTTATTCCCAGACCCTTCCCGTTTTTTCTTCTATCTGAATCTTTGTGAGTCAGCAGGTATAAATGAATTTCAGAGGTGGGGTCCTCAGCCTATTTGGGTCATGGACTGAGACTCGGTTGTTGAGTTCAGAACAGCTTTTTCCCCCAGATTTGATGGTCTGGTTTAATAGCCTAAATGACTTACTGCTGCTGGAAGCTCTGGCCTCTGATTTTTGGGGACTGAGTACTATAACAGGCTTCTTCCTCTTGCCCTCCTCTTTGTCCCAGAACTGTCCTGATTGCCTGTAATGTGAAGCAGATGAGCAAGGACATTCAGCCTTCATTCTCTGCTGAGGATATCGCCAAGATCAAGAAGTTCAGTAAAACTCGTTCCAAGGTCTGGGCGTCTTTTAGGGATTTGAGGGTGGGAAATGGATTTTCAAGAGTTTTGTTTGAGTGTATGGCTGTCTTGTACTGAATCAGGAGGAGGGTCCAGGTTTTTTCCCTCTGAGGTATTTGTTGCTAGCTTCTGTCAGTTTTGTTCCAATCAGTAAAGGAATGAATTTGCTTGCTATTTGGTCTGTATTATTTCTATTTAGCCACCTGCTGGACTCCTAAGTGAACCTAATGCAAATGTTAGGATGGGAGATAGAATATCAGCGTTACCATGGAGGTTTATTAATAAAGATATCAGCATTGTTACTTAAATTTAAAATGTTAGGTTACTTTTGTTGTAGTTCTCCAACTGCTACCCCCCTCCTTAAAGGCAGGCTGTTTCCATTTAGAATTGAACAAAATGTAGAAATGTGTTGTAAAGGTTACTGGTAAAATGCAGTGTACATTCCTATAAAGCCTAAAAGGTTTTGAACTCGGGAACAATTTTTTTCTTGAAGATTAAATTTGTAAACAAACTTTGGCATCTGGGATACCTTGATACCTGCTCTGACAGTGGTCTGCTAAAGTGATTAATAGCAGACACCTTAACAATTAAAAACATTTACATTTATATATTTAAGCATTTTCTCTGAGCAAAAATATAAAGTGGAGCTCTGGGAAACCTCATTGGTGCTTACTCGGCACTTTACTCCATGGGTTCTTTCTCCTCTAGGATATCTTTGACCAGCTGGCCAAGTCATTGGCCCCTAGTATTCATGGGCATGACTATGTCAAGAAGGCAATTCTCTGCTTGCTGTTGGGAGGGGTGGAACGAGACCTAGAGAATGGCAGCCACATCCGTGGGGACATCAATATTCTTCTGATAGGTATGGTCTTCTTGGGGATTTACTTGAGACTCTTGCTCTTAACAATGAAGAGTGGGGTTGTGAGGACCTGTAATATGTAAATTATGTGTTCTGTACCTGGCAGTGTTAGTCCCATCAGAGAGCAAAAGGCTAAACTGTTTTTTGGTTTTTTTTGTTTTGTTTTTGGTTTTTTGAGACAGGGTCTCACTATGTAGTTGAGACTGACTTGGAACTCACTGTGTAGCCCAGGCTGGTCTCTAACTCACAGTGATCCTCCTGCCTCAGTCTCCCGAGTGCTGGGATTACAGGCAAGCGCCACCACGCCCAGCTTGCAAAAGGCTAAAATGCATCTTTTAAAAAATCAGCCAGTTAGTACGTGTCTCTGTTGTGCCAAGACCTGTGCTGGACAAGCAGGACTTGGTGGGGTCGGAGAGAATTCCTAGAGAATCCTTGTCGTTCCCATCCCACAGGAGACCCATCAGTTGCCAAGTCTCAGCTTCTGCGGTATGTGCTTTGCACAGCACCCCGCGCTATCCCCACCACTGGCCGGGGATCCTCTGGAGTGGGTCTGACGGCTGCTGTCACCACAGACCAGGAAACAGGTAAGGGTGTCCGAGTCGTTGGAAAAGGCCAGGGTGGCATTGAGCAGATTCTTTGAGTTTGTTTCAAGTACTGGCTTGTGTTTGGGGATGCAGTTGAAAGGGCAGTTGGGCTAGATTTTACAGGACTGAGTACCTGCAATGGTGAGTGAATTATTCAAGATTTTGAGTGACACGTGACAAGAATATTTCCTAGAAGGTGATTTGAAAGAATTTCAAAGCAGGAAGCTTAGCAGTTTGGAAGTATAATAAAAATGAAGTTTGGACTATTATCAACTAGAGGAAGGATTTTTAAAGCCTGGTGAAAACAGGTCTAGTTAAGCATCAATTGAGGGTGAGGATGGAGAGAGAGACTCTATAAGGAAGTTTATGAGAGGCTAGCTTTTAGGGGTCAAAGTGAGACCTATGCCATACCTGACTTTTTACCCCTTTTCTTCCCAGGGGAGCGTCGCCTTGAAGCAGGGGCCATGGTCCTGGCTGACAGAGGTGTGGTTTGCATCGATGAATTTGACAAGATGTCGGACATGGACCGCACAGCCATCCATGAGGTCATGGAGCAGGGTCGAGTGACCATCGCCAAGGCTGGCATCCATGCTCGGCTGAATGCCCGTTGCAGTGTTTTGGCAGCTGCGAACCCTGTCTATGGCAGGGTGAGTGGAATCAGGCCCTCAACTGTTGTCCTTGACTTCATTTGACTTTGCTGAATAACTGAGCTGAGTTTATTCTAGGAGAATGGGCTGAAGACTAAAAGAAATTCATTAACTTACTGTCTTCAGTTTGGAGCACTGGCTCCTGACCCATTTTTACACAGCAGACTCTTCTAGAAAGCTGTTCATAAACAACTTCTTTAGAAATACAAAAGAGACAAAGTGATCTTTGGTCTCAGAATCCAAGGAAACTATTGCCATTAAATTCAAAGTTACGACATGGTCAGGACAGGAGAATTTCTGAACAAAACCAAGATGTAATGTGCAAATTAAAAACCTTGTTTCTTCTTTGCTGTCCCTTTTCTAAGAGGTATCACTGCTGTTTGGAGGTTAAAAAAACAAAAAATTTAAGGGTGTACTGTACCAGCAAATATGCTATCTTTTTGTTAAGAATTACCTCGTTATCTTTGTTTTTAGCATGGCTCTGATATGCCTGGGTATAATCTTTTCTGTTTACTCCACTTGCAGTTCTGAGTTTTGCCTTTCTTTTAAAAATGATTTTCCAGTATTCTGTTGGATAGACCAGTGATGGTGAACTTTGGGTTTTTATTCTTTATTTTTGAGGCAGGGTCTAGCTGTGTCATTCAGGCCGGCCTTGAATTTGCTGTGAACTTCCTGCCTCAGCCTCCCAAATGCTAGGGTTACAGGTGTGTGCCACCACGCCTGACCGTGGCGAACCTTTTAAGAGAGTTTTGGCACTTGGCGCAAACTGCTTGCACTGTCATCACTGGGCCACTTCTTTCTGAGCATGCTCTCGGCCCCTGTGTGCTCTGTTAACTGAGGCTTGGCTCCTGGGGCACTGCTGGGGGGACATGGCTCGCTTGCCCACAGAGATGGCTCTGCATGCCTGCTGTGGCATAGATGTCATAGGTTTGCCCTTCCTGGTATAGACCCATAGTAACTTAACTGTTCTCCATTTGATGGGCATTTGTCTCCCCCATCCGCAAACCGGGCTATTACGAATAAAGCTGTCGTGAATATCCCTTTCGCTGTATTTTAAAATACTTTTGATTAGTCTGAATACTAATCAGTAGAATTACTGAATTAAGTGTTAACATGCATTTTTGTTTTGGCAGAGATTGACAGTTGCCCTTTTTAAAGATTGTATCATAATACTATTTCCATTAACTAGTACTTCTTTTTTTTTGTGGTACCAGGGATTGAACTCGGGTCCTTGCGCTTGCAAGGCAGGTCACCGAACCGCTGAGCTAAATCCCCAGCCCACTAGTACTTCTGTATGCTTTAAATTTGTCACCTTCTTTCCTACTGTAATGCAAGGTAGATACTTTATGGATGAGAACCTGGAAGCACAGGTTATATAATTTTCTCAAGAGCCACAGACTAGAAAATGGCAGGGCTGGGATTTGACTCACAGCTAAAGCAGTGCACTGGCAGTGTATAATTCCACAGTACATGGTGGCTCTTTAAACATGCAGGTATATGGTTCCTGGCCCAGAGTTTCTGAATTGAAATCTCTGGGTTGGAGTTGTTATTAGCTATGATTTAGAAAGGCTATAATGTGTAGCCTGGGCTGAGAACCATAGGTTTTTAAATTAATGGTGATGTATGTTTGATCTTGAAGAATGATTAGGAAAATGGCAGCATCTGAAATGTGGCCAAAATCATTCTTATTTTACCCACGGATTGTTAAAATGCTTTTGACTCTGAAGTGTATATGAGTGGTAGACATCAACCCAACAGGTCCAAAATTGAAAGATAAAGTATATGTCCTTAAGTCCCATGGAAAAGCTCCCTAGATTGCTAAGACGTTATCCTTTATAGGTCACTGGCTGTCTTTAGTTGAGATTTATCCTCTCAGTGGGAAACTCCATAGATCCCGGTGACCTACCCGCTAGCCCTATCTTTATGTTGTGTAGGGGAGGAGCAATCATCTCTCAGAGTTGATCCTGCCTTGGAAATGAGAAGAGCAAAATCAAGCTTGGGAAGAAGGCTGAGTGTGACACCACACAGAGTCTGAGCAGCTCCTGTGTGAGGAGATGTGCTGCTGAGTTAGACCAGGTTACCTGGGCTTCAGCTAGGGAAAGGCTGCAAGTGGAAGAGAGCTTTGTGTATTTTTTTTAATTGGTTTATTGGTACATTTTAGCTGTACAGTACAGTCACATTCATTATTGGGATCTTATACCTTTACATGACAGGTCTTGGTTCTCATTTTTTCCCCTTGTCCCTGCCCTCCCTTCACCCCCTCCTCCCCTCCCCATTTACAAATACTTTATTTCCATTTTTTCATTTTCTCATATTTTTTTCTTTTCCCTTATTATTTCTTATTATTTCTCTTATTTCTTTCCCCTACCCTTCCCACTTTCCCTACACCTTCAGCCCTTTTCTTCCTATTTCACATGGTCATTTATCTCATTAGGATCTTATGTACTATTATAGTTTTTCACACCAGAGAAACTATTCTGTATTTACATGTGTGACTTATTTATTTCACTTAGAAGTATATCCTCAATATGTATCCATTTACCTATGAGCTTTTTGTATTTTTAATAGCTTTAAAATCTTTAGTTTTTCACTGCTTCTTATCTGTTTTATTTTTGATAATCTAACTTTCCAGTCCTACTCTCAGAATCGATCCAGCGTCATTTCGTTTTCTGTTAATATTGCCTCCACTTCCTTCTTTCCTGTGTCCCCAGTATGATCAGTATAAGACCCCAATGGAGAACATTGGACTTCAGGACTCACTGCTGTCTCGATTTGACTTGCTCTTCATCATGCTGGATCAGATGGATCCTGAGCAGGATCGGGAGATCTCGGACCATGTCCTTAGGATGCACCGTTATAGAGCACCCGGGGAGCAGGATGGCGATGGTGAGGCCAAGAGAAGAACAGTGCTGTGGAAAGATCCTAAACAGATACTATTGTCCCAGGACCACCCCAGGGGAAGTGGTTCAGTGTCCTGGTTGATGCTGTGGATGCCCTCACTTGCTTACCCACGTCCTTTCCTTGCTCTCTGGAGGCTATTCCAAGAAGCATGTTTGTCTGTTTTTGTGTTCTAGAATACCTTTGAATATCTTCTGTGGGCCACACAGTTCCCTTCATTTATCATTTCTATGAGTTTGTTTTCTTCTGGTCTTTGCTTTTTTCTTTCTTGGTTTCTCACCTTTGTGTGCTATAGAAGAAGCAGTTTCCCTTAGGTTAAACTCTCTTCCTCTCTTTTTTCCTGTCTTGTGTTTACCAGCTATGCCCTTGGGTAGTGCTGTGGATATCCTGGCCACAGATGATCCCAACTTTAACCAAGATGAACAGCAAGAGACCCAGATTTATGAGAAGCATGACAACCTTCTACATGGGACCAAGAAGAAAAAGTGAGAATTCCTTTTATCTCTGCCTTGAAGGAACTTGAGATTTGTGTCCTGTTAGGACACACATATGTCTGAGTTTAGTTATGCTCAGACCAAGGGCATAGTGGTCATAACCATGTGGGCCTGTTTTCTGGGTCCACAGATACACCAGTTCTGTGTATCCTGGCCAGTTCTTTGTGGGGATTCAGTCCATGGTCAGATGTTCTAAGGTTTTGATGATGTGCCCATTGGTGGATGTGTGTCATCGCTCTTATTTGTACTTGTCATGTCATTGTGAGGAATTTATGATGAAGGGTCACACTAGAAACTTTGCAGGTAGATTTAGTTGAAGGAGACCAGTGATCTAATGCTCAAAGCATGAAATGTGGGATCATGAGTTTCTGTTTTTGGCTATGGTGCAGTAAGAAGCGTAATCCTCAAAGCTGTTTTATTTAACTACCCAGAATTTGGAGTCAGAAAACAGAATCTGAGTCCTCATTCACTTCCCTAACTCATAAGGTGTCCTACTTATAAAATAAGAGATAAGACTTACACTCTACTTCCTACCTAAACTAACTTAAAAATAACACCTAAATGTAAATCATGTGAAAGAGCCTTGTCGGTGTTCCATATAAACAATATTTGTGAAAATGGGTTCTACGTGGCAGGCATCTCTTTTCTGCTGTTTGGTTCTGACTTCTCTGAGAAGAGGCAAAGCCACTATCCCAGGTGGGTGGGCAGGTGTGTCAGGGAAGTGGAACTCACTGTGTGTGAATGTCCAGGGAGAAGATGGTGAGTGCAGCATTCATGAAGAAGTACATCCACGTGGCCAAAATCATCAAGCCCGTCCTGACACAGGGGTCTGCTGCCTACATTGCAGAAGAGTACTCGCGCCTGCGCAGCCAGGACAGCATGAGCTCGGATACTGCCAGGGTGAGTGCCCAAGGGCAGTATGGCCCTGGAGGACCCTTAGCCACATGGCTGGGGCAGGAATCTCTGCCATCTGGAGCTTTGGAAGCATTGAATTTTGTTATTTCTTGTTCTGAAGGGCTCCTATTGATGCAGTTTTGATCATTTCGTTTTACAAAGGAAAATGAAATAAGGACCCCAGAGAAACATGCATATCATTCAGCAAATGAGTAACTTCTGGGAACTGTTCTAGTCACTCACACAGGGTGGAAATAACAGCAGCTATCCTCAAAGAGCTCAGATTTGAGTTGAGGGGAAGGGAGAAAGATAGGAAAATCACAAATACATATTTATAAATATATATGTCAGTGTGATACTTGTAAAGGAGTGCATGAATGTGAGTGATGATGAAGAAGATAACTGATTTTTCCTAGTCCCATGGTTGGGAGGATATGAATGTCAGGAAGGAGTCTCAGAGTGTGCAATGTTTGGTCTGGACTTTGACGATAACTAGGAGTAAGGCGACCATGATGGTTACTCAAAGCAGTTTCTACTGAGCTAATTTAACTGCCCTTGAATGTATCTAAATCACTTGGGAGCGTTGTGCTTACAGGATTTCACAGCAGCAAGACCCAAGTTGGATAGGCTCTTAGATTTAGACATAATCCCAGGTGATCTGCCCAGCCTCACACCCATTGTGTCTTCTGGTGTTCCTGCTGGGAACACCCCAGGGACAGCATGCTCACAACATTGGTGGAATTGGAGAGTAAGCTCTTAGACAAAGCTGCTTCCTCACAACTGCTATGCATGGCTGCCGCTTGTCTTCTTTACGTTACGCAGCACCTTTTTAACTGTCTCCACACATGAACTGTTCCAGTATGAAAGAACATGTTTCACTGAACCAAGAACCGAGCCTAGTAGTGAATCCCTTGATTTGGATTTTCTGGTTCCACTAGTTCAGGGTAGGATTTCACCAGGTCTTCAGGTGATTCAGAGATTGGAACTTGTAATGGAGTATGTAACCTTCAAACTCTGGTAGCTTTTGAAATCATTGAAAGATTTGGGGAGTGTACAGTATTTAAATGTTAGGCTTTTTTTTTTTTTTATGTTGGTGTGTGGATATTAATAGAAATTTAGAAAACTTTCAAGTCAAAGTGGAAAGGATATTGAAGTGTCACATATGGGAGATGGGGAGGCTTGATGGAAAGAACTTGCTCTATGTTTGATCCCAAGCCTGCAACTAACTTTGGAACCTTGTACTAATTCTTTCACTGCAGGTCAGTTTCCTTATCCGTAAAATTAGGTTCGATATCAGGATTAACTGAAATATGCAGTACAGAAACTTAGTCGTAAATACAGATTATGATTTACTAGGGCAAGTATCCCATTCAGACAAAATAGCATTTTAAGAAGAAAAGCACCCTACTTTGGTGTACCCTTTGCTTATAAAAACCAGTTTCTCTCTGGACTTCAGTGATTATATCGAACTTTTAAAAAGGTGTCCTCAAATTGCCTCTCATGCTCCACCCCTTGGTGTAACCTTGGACAAATTATGTGATGCTTTTGGATTTCTTATCTGTAAAACTTCTCTGATCTGTAAAACTTCTCTGAGTTAAGAGGATTAAATATTAAATGAATATTAAAGCAAACTTCTTGTGCATGGGAGGCCTGTAAGGAGTTTTATCCTGTCGCTTTTGTATGATTTTTAACTTTTTAATCTTTCCAGCTGTTGGATACCTAACTTTCACCTCCCTTGCTCGCCTCTTCGCCCCCGCACACAACCAGCACTCGCACATACATTTTTCCATCAATTTTCTTACTCTTTGAATTTCTATTCTAGAGAATAGGGAGCTCTGCATTCTTTGCTTGGCTCCTGGAGCTTTTCTGGTAGTGTCTTTGTTTGCCTTTCTCTGCAGTAGAAATAGTGGGCTTGGCCAAAGAATTCTGTGTAAATAATCTTTTGTTCCTTCCCCAGACATCTCCGGTTACAGCACGGACACTGGAGACTCTGATTCGATTGGCCACGGCCCATGCAAAGGCTCGCATGAGCAAGACTGTGGACCTGCAGGATGCTGAGGAAGCCGTGGAGCTGGTCCAGTATGCTTACTTCAAGAAGGTGAGGATGCAGATGGCTGGGTGTGAGAGGCTCTTTTTAGTAAGTCACGGTGTGCTGGCTTCTCAGTTCTCCATAGCTGACATCTGCATTAGGATTTTCAGCAGAAGGTAGCAACAGTGGAGCGAGGAATGTGGCTCGCTGGTAAAAAGCTTGCTTTCCTAGCACATTTGACGCCTGGAGTTCAATCCTTAGCACTACACAGCAAACAAAGCAGAAAGTTGCATTTATCTGCCAGTGTTCAGTTTGCCCGGCTCCTTCCTCTAAACATGCAGTGATTCTCAGCCTTGGCTGCACCTGATACTGAAGTCCAGAGAGAAAGTGGTTCTCACGAGGTGGGTGTCACCAAATCAGGGTGCTTTTCTCTCTGAATCGCTATTTTCTGAGTGGGATCCTTGCCTATTTATGATGGGGCTTGTGTACTGTAGGTTTCAGTTAATCCTGATATACCCTGATATTGTGTAACCTAAAATACTGATGACTCCTAGAGATTTTGGTTTAATTGATGTGCCACACATTCAGTCACTCTCCTTCCTCTGCATCTTAAAAAAGTTTGTTTCCAAAGTAATTGCCTCGATGGTAATCGTCCTCTTCCCCTTCCCCGTGTATCTTCCCCGGGCACTCTCCTCCGGTGTTCCCCTGGCACCTCACACACTGATGTTAAAACGTTGAACTACCCCTCCTCCTCCCTGATTTCTGTTTGTGACATTGCATCTGTCATTTTAGAGCCCACAGATCTTGGTGCCTTGACTCCCTTTTCTTCATTGCCCACCCCTTTCCCCCACCTGGTAAATTGTAGCTCTTGGGGATTTAGTTTGGGTGTGATAAGCTTTTCCTCTTTGCTAGCCTTGGGGTTGTCCTAAACTTCAATTAAATGCTTGATTTATAAAGAAATGAATTGTTTCCACCTTACCATTATGGTTTGGACACCTCATTTGTTTCTTTACTTGGTAAACATTTTTTGAGTACTGGACTGTGTGAGAAACCTCCCACCATTTTTTAACATGTTCAGGATGGGGCCAGAATTCAGGCCTCACTACCATGACTGTCTATTGATTAGTCTGTTTATTAACTTTATTTGTAAAACTTATTTAATTTAATAATAATGAAGTAACAAATAAAATATTACTTTTATTTCTACAAAGATGAATAAAAGTGAGTAGAGCCGATCTGTGTGTACCACCAGTGATACAAGCCACTGATGATATAGTCATGCGTATACTACCAGTGGTTCAGGCTGGAAGATGCCTTTCAGGCTTTCCCGTTGCCCCTGTCCTGGAAGCTGGGGATAGGAGAGGCTAGGCAAGTCACTAGACATATGGCAGTCGTTTCCACTGATGGTATAAAGGGGCTCTTATTCAGAGTTCTTAATTCAGTTCCCTGCCATATTTGGCCCCTCCAGTGCTCACATTTGCCTTGATTTTTAGGTTCTGGAGAAGGAAAAGAAACGTAAGAAGCGAAGTGAGGATGAATCAGAAACAGAGGATGAAGAAGAAAAAAGCCAGGAGGACCATGAGCAGAAGAGGAAAAGGTAAGGTGGGGCAAGGCAAAGCGAGATGGAAGGACTCTTGCTGGGTCTTGGAGATGGTGGAAGGTAGGTCTGGTGCTGCTTGTTGACATGAGGTTTTCAGGGACCTTCAGGGTTGAGGATGAAGATAACCTGAGCAAAGGAAGGAGGTAATGAATTCCTCTGTTGAATTTAGTATGATGATTTGGATCCCATTTCCTGCTTTAAAGGCATATTAAATAGCAGGAGCAGAAATTACTCAGTGAAGATTTTGAATAATACACTTCAAAATTCCTGAGATTGTTTTTTCCTTTTGTTCCTATGATTGGATTTATAAGGGTGGGTGATGGGGAAAAAGAGCCACAGGTATAGGCCTATTTGTGTTCATTCTAATCTGGAGAATGTCTTTCAGAAAAAAGTGGCAGTTTGTACAGGCCTAGGTCTGGTGTTTCACTTTGATTGTAGAAGGCTTCTTGCCCTTGTCTTGGAGATCAGAGGTACAGGGTGGGCCTCCCCTGAGTGTTTTTTTTCTTAGCTGCTGTGTGGGTATTTTAGGAGGAGGACTCGTCAGTCGGATGCCAAAGATGGGGATTCCTATGACCCCTATGACTTCAGTGACACAGAGGAGGAAATGCCTCAAGGTGAGCAAGTGTCCCTCAGCTGATTGAAGAGGTTGTTGCTCTGACTCCTGATTTTTTTTTTTTTAGTTTTTCTATGCTCTGTATTTTCCTGTTTGGCTTCCTGTTTAGAAACTTGTGTCTAAGAGGCTTGTTCTAAGCTAACTTCAGGGAAAACCCACAGTGAAAATTTTGGAAAATAGGATTTGTTCATTGTTTGCCTCCTGGAAAAACTGCCATCTTCTGCAAAACCTAAATATAAGTACCCCTGTGATGAAGATCTCTTGCCTGAGGGAATCTCTGTCATCCCAGTGGGGATTTCCATTTCTTAATGGTTCTTCCTGGCTTATAAGAACCAGTGGAAGCGAGAGTTTCACGGGTTCAGTGAGGGGTGGAGAGTGCCGAAGATGCTTTTTCTGATGCTACTGGAAACAGTTTGACCTTGCTGTCATCCCCATTTCCGCAACCTTTAACCCTCTGAAGTGCACACCCCGAAGACTGCAGACTCTCAGGAGACCTCAAAGACTGCAGAATTGCAGGAGACCCAGGAATCTCAGAAGGTGGAGCTGAGTGAGTCCAGGTGAGCTGGGGAAGTTCCCTTGTACTTTGTCAGTTCCAGCCAAGGTAAGGACTGGCCCCAGAGAGAGGGAGGGAGGGAGTGCAGCACCCACAGAGCTCAGACTAAAGGGCCACCAGTGGCGAACCCAAGGCACACATGCTACAGCCATACTGCAGCTGGCTGTTATCACTGGAAACTAAAGGTTCAACATCACTGCGCTAAGATTTTAAAACATTTTATACTCTGATTATACTGTCCGATTTATGGGAAAGCCTGCAAGGATAGTAAAAAATCCTTATAGTTTTTACCCAGCTGTCTTCTGCATTTTACCATCTGCTTTACTGTCTTGGTGGGAATTTGAATTATTGCGTTCTTGTGGGGTCAGGAAAAAAATTTCTTATCGTCCTACAACCTTGGATTCTTCTCATAAAACAGTTTTTTTTTTTCTTAAAAATTCTGGCATTTGTTTTGAGATGAATTTTTACTAAAGTTTCAGAAAACGTTTTTTTCTGTCTGTAAAAGCCTCCTTAGCCTCCTTAGCCATGATTAACCTTGTCCACCCTTTCTCCCGTCGCGGGCAGGTTGAAGGCCTTCAAGGTAGCCCTCCTGGATGTGTTCCGGGAAGCTCATGCACAGTCCGTGGGCCTGACTCACCTCACGGAATCCGTCAACCGGGACAAGGAAGAGCCCTTCTCTGCAGAGGAGATCCAGGCTGCACTGGACAAGATGCAGGATGCCAACCAGGTCATGGTGTCTGAGGGCATCGTCTTCCTTATCTGAGGGCTCCTCTCTGAGCGCCTCCTCTCCCCCATCCTTGTCTTTGCCTTCCTTCCCCAAACAGCTGTGTTTAATTGAACTGATGTTGAGGAGCAGAAGGTGATGCAGATGGGTTGGGACTTGCTGGCAGCTTTGGGAGTGGGTGATGAAAGCTGTCATGGGGTAAGGTGAGCAGGAAGTGGGGAGGGACTGGGTCTCTGCATCTTCGTGGCAGAAGGACTGGGTCGTACACCCAGGATGAGATTATTGGGGAGTTCAGTTCCATCTTGGTAATTTTTTTCCCCATCTCCCAACAGATCCAGTGTTATTTTATGTAAACATGACTTTGGAGTATGTTTGTGGGCACAGAGGGTTTCTGTTTATCTTTTCTATGTTTTTCTATGGGTTTTTAAAAATTCTCTTGAGCACTTTGGTCTGGAAAAGGCTTTGAGTTCTGTGCTGGTAGAGGTGCTGACTCAGGCTATGCAGGCCAACAAAACTTTTTTGCAGACTAATATGTGTTTTTGCCCTAACTATTTAGGGGATTGAATAAATGGAACTGCTTTGTACACTATGCCTTAATACCTTGTGCTTTTTTTATATACACATTTTCGTTTTTCTGGAAAGCTCTGCTGCTGGATTTGCTGCTACTGCATTTGCACTAAGACACCACAAGGTGGCAGCAGCCTGCTGTGAATTCTTTGGGGATTATGTGTTTTCTCCCTCAGCAACACCAGCGCTTATCACCACTGATTGAGCAAACCAAACCCCATTGATGTGGAATAGCTACATGATCACAGGAGGCCAGTGAGTGAAAGTCCAGGAGAAATGACTGGTCTTTCTGAGCCAGGATTAAAACCCCAACGTAGAAAAATGATGAGTTTTGTCACATACTCTCAAAATCATGTGTTTTTACCCGTAAAGAGACCCTCCTATAAGATACTTTGGAAATTACCTAGTGTCCAGCCTTTGGGGTTTATTAGCCTGTTTGTATAGAAGTTTGTGGAAGGGCCAGAACAAGACTACTACTGTTGTGTGGTTTGAACAGCTTCCAAAGAACTTTTAAGATTACTTAAATTAACAAAAAAAAAGGTGACTTTATGGGGGCCTGGGTCACATAGAGATTGGAGGCTATCTCCTGGGTGGCAGATGTGGCTCTGAGAATTGCTTGCTCTCGGCTGTAAGAATGTTGAGGTACTTCTCCTTTTTTGCTGGGGCTAGCCCTTCAACCTGAAATCACAAAGCAGAAGGTTTTCTTTGGCTTATAGTGACAAAGAGATTTTTTTTAAGGGAGGATGAGATTATTGGGGAGTTCAGTTCCATCTTGGTAATTTTTTTCACAGATGTGAAGTCCAAGTCCTATTCAGGGTAATCTAGAACACAGTTTCAAAGGAGGAGGCCCTAGTCCCGGGAGGAGGAACTGGACCTTGAATCTGGCAGTGAGTCAGAGTGGTGCAAGTTCTAGCAGTGGATCCACAGTAGGATGTACAGCTCACAGCCACTTACAGTGGTCTAGGAACATGCGTGTGTAATATGTGAGCATAAAATAAAGTTTGTTAGGTACCAAGTGAGGGTATAATACAGTAACAGGAATTGAGGGATACCCTGAGTATCAGGAGGAAGGCTGGGGCTGCTTATGGATACTACTATGAAAAGAGGCTAGGGCTTTTAGGGGTGTCTGCTGATGATCTGTTCCAAAAGATCATCCTTTTCCTGTGAGGAAATAGGCACAAAGGGGAAAATAAGTGCACCCATCCTTTTGGTAATTACAGGTGTCTTAGTCAGTGTCTTCTCACAGGAAAAGTATCTGACATACACAATTTATAGCAGGAGAGGTTTATTTTAGCCTTTAAAGGATTCAGTCCATAGTCTGCAGGAAGGGTCTGGGTGGATCAAAGCTGCTCATGTCGGCAGTCAGGAAGTAGAAGGGAGGAGCCTGGGAGGGAGATGTACCCTTCGAGGTCACACCCAAGGTGAGCCCCATCTTCCAGCTGGACCCCACCCCACCAGCACATTAGCTCTGGATTAATCCGAATCTACTGACAAGTATAGAGTGTCCTCATTATTCAGCCACCTCTGAGCACAGGCTTGTGGGGCATTGAAACCATAGCACGGGTTTACCTTGTTGACCACTTCCATCCTCTTCCAGCTGGCCAAAGAATAGAGTATGTTCAGCTGCCACAATTGATGTTATTGTGGTTTTTTTCTATTTTGGTTATTTGTGGTGCTGAGGATCAATCCCAGGGTCTTGTGAATGCTAGGCAGGTGCTGCACTGCGGAGCTACATCCCAACCACACAATAATAGTACAATAGTAGGTGCTGATTGTGTTAAAATAACTTCATTCAGCCACCGATTTAGCTCAGTGACACTGTGCCTGCCTCACAAACGCCAGGTCCTGAGTTCAATCCCTAGTACCGAAAAGGAAAAAAAAATTCTTCTGAAACTCAGTGAATATATTAGTTTTAAGGAATTGCGTGTATAGTGTCCCAACTTTAAGCAACATGAAAGAATTTGGTAATTGTCAAGTGGTTCTCTGCAGGACCTGGTTTAGGAACCTAAATGAGCGATTCATGCAGGTGCTCAGCCCACAGTCCAGCAACCCTGAAGGCATCACCACTGCCACACACTGACCCAAACTGGTCATAAAACAATACTGTTTCCTATAAGCTTCATTCTAGAGGGGAAGTTTGCTTACAAGTAGCTGTACCAAGTGAAGTAGTGCAAATAATTGGTAGGTTTTAGAGGAGTAAGTTTTTCTATCTTGAAAAATCATGGTACCTTATTCCTTAACTCTCCTGGACAAATGAAGTGTCAATATGAAAAGATAGTTTTCAAAATAGTCCATTTGGTGAGAGTTGCTAGATTGTTAGTCTCTGACTTACCAAGTAACTTCTGGTAAAATCTGAGCTGCTGTTTATTTCAGGTTTGGAATAATCACTGTCTTCCAGGATGAGTCTGAGATGAAGTCTGAACAGGAGAGCAGGTAACAAGTGCCTGCCTCGCATGTAACTGCTCTGTGGTAGCAGTATTACTACTGCAGTTCCCAGGACCCACGGAAATAAAAGGAGCATTCATTTTGATAAGTACTTCAGACAATGCTTTCATCAAACAAATAGGGGATAGAGGTACAGCTCAGTAGTAGAGTGCTTGCTTAGCGTTCCCAGGGCCCTCGGGTCAGTCCCTCGTGTGCCCCTCTAAAACCCCAAAATAAATTGATTGACCCTGTGGTCAACTTGGAAAGCACCAGCTGACCTGAATCAGTGTGGTTTAGGCATGGAAGACCCACCTGAGGATTATTGCCAATGGCATAAAAAGAGAACAGAAGGGGACGATTGTTGGCTATTGATTTTCTGGAAGCTTGTCATGGCTGGTTTTCCTGATTCGAACTTGGCTGTTGTCAAAGGAGCTCGGGGCCTCACTGTCACTGGGAATAGCTGGTGCTCTCCTCATGGGAGCCTTGATCTTTGCCTTGAGCATCACTTCCTGGCTCCAGTGTAGATCCCTCATCCTGGTGGCACAGATCTTTCATCCTGATGGCAAAGGCTTTCTAGCTTCCACCACTGTCCTTTGGGCCTTCCCGATGCAGCCTTCATACTGACAAGCATGAGATGTGGCCGTGGGCTGTAGGCCACTGGCTGGATTCGTGGAGGACATTGCCTTGGACTCTGGGCCTTCTGCTGGACTTGTGTGGGACACTGCTGTGGCATCCAGGCCCTTAGCTGGATCTTTCAGGTCTTGGTATGTGGCTAGATCTCTTGCATTCTGCATTTGACTCTTTGGGTGAATATTATAAAATTATCCTGTAAATTATGTGTCCTGTATTAAATCTGTTCCCTTTTAAACCCTGACTACAGCACACCCTCACTCTTGTGGTATCCCTGACCTCTTCCCTCTCCTCGCTGTCCTTGCTATCACCTCTTCTCCAGTCAGTGTGGCATGGACTTGAGTACTTCTCACAGGGAAAACCATCCTCTAAAGCTTGTGTCAGCAGATTCTTCTGCTTTCCTACAACAGCTTTATAAAGTAGGGTCATTCAGAAAACATGGAGGGGAAAGGAGCGGGACTTGTAGAAACCAAAGAATCAGCTGGTTATTTTCTTCTCATTTCTCCTGAGTATCCACACTAATGCTGCTGTCTGAAGTGATCCCAGACTTCTTGAGGTGAGGTCTGTCCAGGGGGGCTGCTCAGTGGGGTAAGGTTGCCACTGTCACCTATACGCTGGCTGCCTCAAGATACTCAGTACTAGGAACAGCTCTGTGTCGTTTACCCTTTCCCTGCCATCCTCTCCCCTCAGGGGGCCAGGTAGCACCACTTCTTTCTGAAAGGGGGAGGTGGGATGGTTGGCACAGGCTGCAGAGGAAACTCACCAGAGAGCCGGCAGCTGGCAAACAGTAATGCCCTGCGCTAGTGCATTCAGGTTGCTTTTCCGATGTGGTGTCATTCAGTTTCGTGCGTGCTAGGCGAGGTCAGCCACATCCTTAGAGGGTAGTGTGTGGTTTCTTTGTCTGGAAAGTGAGTGTTGAACTAGGCGGTCTCTGAGGTCCCTCTGGTAATTGTACATATGACTCAATGCCCACTGTCACTTCTCACAAGGAGCATTAGTCCTGGCATCATTGTAGAACCTGAGTCAGCCACATGCAGGCCAGAACGGGTCTTTCGTCACCTTGTTAGTCATCCCGTCCTATCCTCAGAGGATGCCCAAGTATTTGCATACAGCCGGCACACATCCTCCCATATTCTTTGTTAATATGAATTATTCATACCTAGTAGAATGTTAGTACTATGTAAGTGATCATTATACTGTGTTGTTTAGAAAATAAGAAAAAGGATTTTTCCAGTGATCTCAAGGGATTTTACTAAATCCCTAGAAAGATTTTAGAAAAAAGTTAATTTCAATTTACTGAAATCTCTACCTAGTTTACTTTCTTTCTCAGGTCTGACACCTGAGTGATGAGTCTTGGATTCTGTCTGGTCCATTATTAACCAGCGTGCGATCCTAGCTTATTCTCTTCAGTCTTTCCTCAAGGGAGAGAATTAAGATTCTACATTCTTTTCCTGAATATTTTTACTATTAAGTCCTGAGTATCGTCCCACAGCTTGTAGGATGGATATTAGCCTCTGCTGAGATTTACCATTCTCGTAATAGTTCTCCCAGCAGGTAGTTTTTTGCAGCAAACTAAGCCTTCTATGTTTAAGTACAACTACTTAACCTTGCCGAGTACCTTGCAATAGAAAGGTCAGCTTGCAGAGTTTGCTTGTTTCTAATTCAGTGAATGGACCCTGGAGTTAAAGCTGTACTAAAGCCCAATAAGAATCTCCCCAAACAAGACACACAGTTGGAATTCAACTGTGTTCGTAGCTCCATCGTTCTGAAAGTACTATTGTAACTGGTACTGCAAAGTGGAACTTTGAAAGTTAGATTTTTTTCTTTTAGAGAAATACCTCCTCCAAGTTCCTTCCTACTGAGCACATATCCAGTGCCCTCTCCTCTCTCCTCATCCCAAAAGAAGTGATGGAATATGCTGATGCTGATGATGCCCAGAGCCTGTTTTCCTTTCACAGCAGGCACTCTGAGATGTGTGTCTGAACCCTCTCCCCTCTGTTCCTTACTATAAAAGGACCCTTACCCGCCTGTACACAGTGAGATGGTGATTGAGGCAGATGGGCCCCTCCATCTTCAAGATAGCTTTGAATAAACCCTTTTAACCAAAATATGTGGCCTCCTTTAAATGGAGTGGGTAAACACAGCTGAGTTATGGGCCCAAGTGGCTGGAAACACCACGACTAACAAAACAATGGAATCTTTGGAAAAACAAAGAACAAAAAATAATCTTATCACCCTAATGTACCAACTGTAATCAGCAGTATGTAGGAGTTTAGAAACAATATTTTTTAGACTTTGAAGATCTGACTGCTGAAGTGCAAATGTTATGTATCACATTTAACTCTAAAGGGTCATACTCAGCAAATTAGAGTCAACCTGGAATGATGTGTCTCAATTTCCAGGATCCCAGGCAAACGCTGATTCCCAGAAACAACTTCTTCATGCACTTAGGTGGTGAGGTGAGGAGTGGCCATGTTACGGTATCCTAAACACCATAAAAGTGACCTCATTAAATCTTCTCCACCTTCCTATGGCAGGATTTTTATTATCCCAGCTTTATAGAAACTAGGTCCAGAAGATTAGATAATTTTCCCAGGATCGCATAGCTAGTGGGTGGTGGAGTCTGGCTTTTACATTTAGGGCTGCTTTGATTTGTACCTACTATGTTGCAATGAGCAAACTGTGAAGCTGCTGGACAAGATGACCGTCTGGGTACTAGTGCTCCGAGATAAAATCAAAGACCTTCCAGAGCTGCTTGAGCTCTGAGTCATCTCAAGAATTTGCCCTGAGGGGAAAGAACCCCGTCTGACAATGACTGGTGTTTGTTCTTCAGTAGTACCTGAAATTCAGTTATTGAGGTAGTTTAAAAATTCTCCTGCCAGGTGTGGTGGCACACACCTGTGGTCCCAGAGCTCAGGAGCAGAGGCAGGAGCATAGCAGCGAATTTGAGACCAGCCTGGGCTACATAGTGAAATCCTGTTAAAAAAAAAAAAAAATCCCTATCATTAATGTAGCAAATACAGGAAAGATAACTTCCCCTCACTATGTAATTGAAGACAAGAGGTGAGAAGTTGATAGAGGAAGGTATCTTAACAGCTGTCATTGAAACCACTTGGCCTGATCTTGTTTTCATTTATCTTAGTACAAAAATAATATAGGATATGACATACAAAGGGTTCAGAATTTAAAAAGCAAAGACTGGTTTTGTTTCCCACCATTACAGAGAGCAGGCAGAGATGCTGCTTTCTACAAGCTTGATCCTCTGGTAGCCCCTGCCTTTCCACCTTGTTCTGGCAACTGTGTTCTCTTATTCTCCAGCCTGCCTCTGAGGAATGCAGTTTTCCTTCTCTGGGCTTGAAGATCTGGGGTTTCAGCTCTGCTATTTAATGCCATAGTAGTGGTACTTGGAACAATTTCATGAACTCTGTAAATCTCAAGTTTCTTAATTTGTGCTGCAGAGATCTGTCATAATCTCCTCATGGAATTCTTTGAGAACCAAATAAAAAATGTTTCTGAAAATGCTTTGTGAACTAAACTATATGGCTTGATTTTAACATGTAGGCTACTGAGGTAATCATTTCCCTCCTTTGTCCCAGAAAAATATGTTAGTGCTAGGTCAGAGAAAAACAGCCCTGGAATTGGAGAAAGACATTCTCTTATTTGTAAACGGAGACAAGACACCAAGAGGCTTGGAGCCAAACTGCACAGTGGCTGCCTGTAGGAAAGACATTCAACCTCCATCATCGGGGTTGAGACCGCTTGATTGTAAAGATCTGGGCAGTTCCTGACGTCTAGTGGAGCAGGCAACAAAGGTGAGCTATTTTGCCTGCCTGAAAGACTCTAACTTGGGGTGCCAGCTCCAGGGGTGCTCTGTAGGGTGTCAAGTGCCACAGCTAGGGCTTTCTCCTGAGTTGTTTTCCTAGCATAAAATCTGCATAATTGAAACACCAACACATGCATTCTACAAGAAGCATTTTCCCCAGTTTAAATAAGTCTGCAGTGCCAAGAACCTTCTCAGAGTCTTTATATTTTCCCATGTCCTTCCTTACCCATCTTCCTATTTCTTAACCTCCATCAAATGCAGCACAGAACAGCGGAATGAGTCCTGCCCTGGCCTGGATCCTTCAGGCTGTCACCTTTGCAAAGATGCAGAACTGTCCCTCGCAGGAGGCCCATTTCATCCTGTCCTGTAGCATTTCTACCCAAATTAGGAGAATGTAAGAATCACCCTTCTGAGTCACATCCAGGCAGGAGTGAAAGTGACACATTTCTCACAAATGTGGTTGTCTCAGTGCTCTTTCTGGTCCTCCTCCTCCACCTATCATTCTCGCTTTAATCAGGATTTTCATGAGAAACAGTCATGACACAGAATTTTTAGCATTAGGAATCATGCATTTTTTCAACAAAAAGGGAGGAAACCTAAAGACAGGGACAAGAGCTGTTTAACCCTGCTTCATACATACGTGCATGTGAACCTGCATATGTGCACGTGCTCCTACTTCCATGGCATGACTGAGGTGGTGAGTTTAGTATTCTGTTCGCTTCTATAGGGTCCTACAGTGGAAGGGACCTTGGAGGTGTTCGAGTTCAAAAGGCCACCCCTGTGCATGACTTCCTCGGGACCATCACTGCCGGATGCTCAACAATCCTTTGTGTGACCATCTGATGACAGTTCAGTCCCTCTCCCTTTTGAAAAACTTCCCCAATATTTGAAAATATTACTGTCAGTATTCTCCAAAATATCCTCACCTTAAATAATTTGGCTACTTACATAATATATTTGGAATTGAAGCCAGTAAGGAAGTGGATGCAAGAGGAAATAATATCAACAAAATCAAATGAAGTGAATATTTATTGAGCATCAGCTATCGATAGAATGATTTTCCAGAGGTCTAAATGGGGTGGGGAGACAGATCATCGTCTGAGAGTTTAAAATCCAGAGAACACATTAGGAACAAACACTTGAAAACTTAAAAAGCCAAAGACTGTACAAATAGCCATTCAAATGGGCAATAGAAAGGTTGTCTCTAGTTAACTGATAAATTATATGGCATAAGAGCAAACAGAGTTCTGAAGAGGGAAAGACACAGGAGGATTTTCAGTAGGAGCTCATAGATGGTGTGGATGAGGCTGGAAGTTTGCATGGAACTCAGATGAGCGGAGAACCGAAGTGGTCATTCCAGAATAAGAAATTAACCAGCAGAGAGAGAGGATTCAGAAACAGATAACACTTTGTGGAGCAAAACCTGAAAACCTAGTTTGCTTTATGTTATAGTTTATATCTATTTATCCCCCTGAGCCTCTTGTGCTCATAGGCAGGACTTCTAGAAAGTGATTGGATCATTTCATCCAGATCATGAGAGCTTATAGCTCACTTGCTGTTAGAAGATGGGGTCTGCTGGAAGAGGGGCATGGTCTGGAAAGGTTTATTTCCTTCCCTGGCTCTTCCCTTAAGCGGCTTCTCCACCATGCCCCTCTGCCATGCTGTCCTGCTTTGGAGCCAGCAGACTGGACTGAAACCTTTACTGTGAGCCTAGATAAACCTTTCCTTTGTGGGTTTGGTGTCTCAGTGATGAAAAACATTATTAAGATAGTTTACATGGAAGTTTTGGGAAAGGAATATGCTTTAATAAATTAGGTCAAAATATGCAAGAGATTTGAGCCAATGTGTAAGGGATTGGTAATTTAATCTAGGGCCAAGAATGGATGAAAGGTCATCTTTCTGGCCTGGGACTTGCCAGCCCAACTCATGACCCCACAGCTTTGTTGGTTGTCAGTATGATTGTTGGGGAAAGTACAGGGGCAAAAGTTGCTGATCCTTGGTCCTGCATAACCCTGGTAGAAACAAGCTTAGGAAAAACTTCAGTGGGAGGAAGCCAGGAAAGTTCGACAGTATTTAGCAGACACTCAGCTGGGCTTTCCCCAGGCATCACATTCTGGTGGTGTTTTGACTAATTCCATCCACCTCAATGCAGGAAATGGGCCTGGCTGCCAAGTCAATGTGTGCATGATACATTGTGGAGCTGTAACTGTTACTAGAATAGGCCATGCCAGGGAAGCCTTGGCAGAATTTTGACCCAGAACAGCCTCAGTTTCCTATTCTCTTCATACCCACATTTGCCAAAGAAACTTCCAGAGTATAGAGCAGGTATGGTTTTAGCTAGGAGGAAGTGAAGCCCTGAGATTTAAATTTTTTGCCTTCTTATCTCAATAGCCTTTCAAGGATATTTGATTGTCAGTTTCTCAGTTTTAGAAAACATTGCATTCAATAAGCCCACTGCAATTTTGTGAGGTTTGTAGCTCTTTTCCTGATGTTCCTTAAAGCAGTGCATCTTAGACTTTCATGTAATGTGAATCACATGGGGATCTTGTGAAATCACAGTCTGATTTAGTTTGTGTAGGGTGTGGGTCCAAGACTGTGTTTTAAATAAGCTCATTATGGCCAACAAGTTAGATGTTGTTGGTCCTGGGATCAAAACTTTGAGCCGGGTCCTCCTAGACTGGTAGGTCAGGGGTAGTGCTTGCTTTCTTATTCCAGAACTTGCTGGACCCCACGCTTGCTGCCTCCCACCTGAGGCTATCGTCTTGGTCACTTTATGTAGACATCATAAGCCTTTTTTGTACATGGAGAATGCTACCTTAGACCTAGAAGTCATGAGAGAATTAAAGGCCAATGTAGATAAGGAAATAATTTGAATACTAGACTCAAAACCTAAAAGTTGTGTAGTTGTATTAGCTTTCATCACTGCAACAAAATAACTGAGAAAAAGCAAGGTAGAGGAGAAAAGGTTCATTTCTGCTCGGAGTTGAAGAGGTTTCCGTCTCCGGTCAGCTGTCGGGCCTGTGATGTGGCAGAACATCAGCGGAAGTGTATGGCAGAGCAGAGTTGCTCCCCTCATAGCAGCCAGGAGAGAGAAACGGAGGGATGGAGACATGGATGGGGAGTGAGAGGAAGAGAACAAGTTACTGGGACCCTTCCTCTTTCTACGTTTGTTCCCTCTGGGTGCCACCTACTTTCAAGGCAGGTCTCCCCCGTTAGTCCTCTGCCCCACATAACAGTCATCTCTGCAAACACAGTCATTGTGACACAGACACAAGCAGAGTAATGTGTATCCACACGAGTGTACATTCGAGTAACTCAGAGGTGTGCTTTGCTGATTTCTTAGATATTCCTCAGTTCAATCAAGTTGACAGGCTGAACCATCACAAGTCCATCCTTTGTCATCTTGACACCTAATCACATCCCCTTGAATCATAGTGATCTCCAAGTAAATAGTTGGGAAGTCATAATTCTGCCGGACCTGATATGACTATCCCATGTACAACTGAAAACCTCAATTCCTTTTCCAAAGTCTTAGTGGTTCTAGCATTGCTCAAAAGACCAAGTTCAAAATCTCTTCTGAAATTCAGGGCAAACTGAGCCCCTTTTTTTTTTTTTTTTTTTTTTTTATCATGAACTTTGTTTTTCCTCTTAGCACAGAGTAGTTATTTAATAAATGATGTTTTTGTTGATGGAGAAATTTCATGTGCAAAAGCCGCTTCAGGTCCAAAGAATAGATCAGTTGTAAAGGGTCCTTCATTTGATGTGGATATTTCTCCTGTGACTTAAGCCCTCTTCCACCCAGGATTCTCATGTAGCAATCTTGGGAACTTCCTTTCCTAAGTCTTCTTTTTCTCTCCTTTCCTTTCTCAGCTTCTGCCTCTGATCCTCTCTGATGCCAACCCCTCTCCCCACCCTGCAATTCTTTTTTTTTTTTTTTTAAGTCAGGTCAGGAAGTATACTCTTTTTAAAAAGAGAAAGTGGTAGAAGCGAAAGGGTAGGAGGGAGGGAAGGACAGACATAGAACAGGCGGACAGACACAGAGACAGGGAGAGAGACGGCAGGGGAGACTACAGAGATTAGTGGGGAAAGAGGAGAAGGAGGGCATTGTGGTTTATATCTGGATCCCCAGAAGCTTTTGGTAGGTTATAAAATTATGGGGACATTATACCTGACTTGCTGTTAAGACGTGAGGTCTACTTGGCAGAGGTGGGTCGCTGTGGGCGGGACCCAGAAGAGGACACCTTCCTTCCTGTTCCCCCCTTGCCTCTCTGCTTCCCTGCCACCATGCAGTGAGCAGCTCTCCTTCCAGGCCATCCTGCTTTGGAGCCCGCTGACTACCGACTGAAATATGAGCCACAATAAGCCTTTCCTTCCTCAAGGTTTTGTAGTTGGTAATTTTGTCCCAGCAATGGGGAAGCAACTCAGACAGGAAACTTTTATTCTTTGTTGACCTAAACCCCAAACAATTCCTCGTCTCATAAATATCACTGATAAGAGGACCCCAATGCTGCATTTTCTTTTTTTTTATTTTATGAAAATAAAATTTCATAACAAAATAATAAGAGTGTAACAATAGTTAATGCACTGTGCACCATTATCTTCAAAGTGGTTACTCAGAGTACAGGACATAGACAAAAGCTTCTCTTACAAAGAAGAAAGAAATAACAGCACAAAACATTCTTTTCAGTGAGCTATGAGAACTAGTGCTGCATTTTCATCTAGCAAATAATCACTACATTTTAAAAGAAGGATTAAGTTGCTATGGTGTGATTTTGTGGAGATTCTAATGAATTTGAATATTTGTCTCAAGTAAGAAAAACTTAATTCAGAGGATCCTAAAAGTAGAAATATTCGTTGTCATTTGTGGCGGTCTGGCCGTCACAACACGAAAGTACCTGAGTTGGGGAGTGAGGATTGAGAAAGGACAGCACACTCAATAGTGTGGAGACAAGAGGTCCAATTTATTACACAGAAACAGCTCCTTTTAAA